TCTAGTAGTTCCCATTGATTTTGCTTGTAAAGCGGGGAGAATGGCGCTAGGCTTACCGCACCGTGACGTCACTGCTGGAAGATGGCAGGAGGGAGGGGTTACTATATTTGGGCAAAGATGGCCGATCGCAACGAACATTTTTATCTTTATGTTTTTACTGATTAACGCTAAATTCATTAAATCACCACAAAGGTATTTGTTTTAGGTATAAATAATGATCCATTGATTATTCCTTGCTGACCGGACTTTTCCTTTAAAAAACATGAACCTCTCTCAGCATCTCATATATGCCTTTATTAAGGGTCTGAGTCTTTAATCATCTTTCTATTGTATTAGAGGCCAGCAACTCTACAGAAGAGGGCTGCCAGTGCCTCTCTGTGTCCCTGAGGCAGAACCTTAACCCATGATTGCTCCAAGCTGCCCACTATTCCTTAAGAAATGGGATAAATGCAGCGGCCATTATTCATTCTAATGTGACCAGTAACTTTGATTATACTCATCCAGTCGAAGTTACTGGTCACAAAGGTAACCTCCCCCACATTCGGAGGTTCTGGACATATTCCACTCTCTGGTGGGAGTTCAAAGGGTGGATTGAAGGTCAATATGTAATGTGATATTGTGTCCCAGCAAAAATATTACTACCAAGGGTTCTCCCCAGAACATTGGAACAGGATGGACAACTTCTTTAGAGTGATTAAAACAATACATGACCGCATGACTGCAGCTTGGAGAGATCAGTATGAAGGTCCGACTTGTTCTTAACCTGCTTTCAAGGAGTGATGGACAGCTGTGTCCTTACCAATGTATTCTTTCAGGTCAATGAATCCATCGCCGTTCTTGTCTATGTCTTCCATCGTTTCCTGTGATTGCAGAGAGATCAACTTAACTTGAGAACACAAACCTCAAACCAACAATGTTTACATTTGATCACTGCAGCACTTTTAAACGAAATGGAAATTTCATGCAAGCTGTACGAAACGAATTTTCGTTTTGTATACTCTGTGTATTCAAAATGACAATAAATGCTGTCTAATTCTAACACAAACTGTGGCCCCTCTTACCTGCACCACCACTTCCTTCATGTGTTCATGGTTCTCTGGATGAAGAAAAGCCATAAACTCTGGCTTGTCTGCATTCATGTCTCCATTACTGTCTGCCACTTTGAAGCGTCTCTCGTCCCTCGACATCATGTTGGTGTAGTTATACTCCCTCTCAGTCAGAGGACCCTCTGAAAGAAGATGAGTCAAGATCAAGAGTGAAAGGTTTCCATCTCGGACATGTATGGCATTGCTTTGGGGTTAGAAATTATATAGACCACACTTTATCAGGATTGAATGGTTAAAGATCTTTCAACTGTCCGGTAACCAGGTCTCAGTGAAACCATTTTAATCACCAGTAACGAGACGGTGCTAACACCCAAGAAAAGCTCCTGCTTCAATAACCTTTGAGATGGACTTAGACCTGCAACTGTCCTCACAGACAAGCTAAATGTCTCCTACAAAGGTTCGATGGTTAGTCGTTATGCGCCGATATATACGATACCTGGCTGTGCAGTAATACTGATACCATCTGTTTGAAATTGATGTATGTGTATATATGAAGAACTGCATCCCACTTGGATGTAAAATAATTGCCATCATGGCTTTGTCAAGCTGCTGCCTACCTTTGTGAAGCAGGAAGTGAATCCAGTAGAACTTTTTATTGCCTACCTGGAATGGGTGACAATAGTTGAATAAACTTTTGGCTCTCAAAATGGTATCAGTGCCCTATTTGTTGGTACTCGACGATACCGATACCACCATTTTAAGTTGGCAACACTGCTCCTTGTTTTCAGGCAGCTGCCTAGTATTGCCTTAGGGTAATCCACCCCCCGTGCATTAAAGCATAACCCCTTAAAAACCAACTTCTGCCCCTTTTGAGAATCTCATAAACTGTAGGAATAAAAGCAGAATTTGGATTTAGTCTGTATAATTCCTGACAATGCTAATTTACTGAGTATAAGATTGTGTTTTTATTATAAAACTGAAGCAGTTCATACAATACTGACAGCCAACTTTGAACTTACTTTGAATTTACTTTGAATTTCTCCTCAATTTTGATATTAATCACATTTTGCACTACTTAGCCGTTTTTTTGTGTTTTTTTAAATGCAGCCATAATTCTTCCTGAGCCAAACCTTTAACCTTCTGATAAATCCGCCTATTTCTATTGTGTTACCACCTTATTTCACTTTACTTTTAGCATCTGCATCACATAATGCTCCCCATCCCATTTCAAATGTTCATCTTCCTCCTCTGCCATGGTACCATCTTCATCAAGTTGGGTCTCATGATGTAACTTAGATAAATGATGGCTTCACTTTATCAGACTGTTAGGACCTTGTCAGTGTGGACCCACCTGTTGGCATTTTACTGTGGTTGGACTCTGATTTTAAAAAGCTTTGATTTGGGGAAAAGATCAGATCTCAGCAGAAAACATGAGGGTCAGGTTCACACGTGTTCCTGTTTGGATCCTCACCCAGATAGCTGCCATAGGTCACGTTCCTGTACTCCTCCCAGCTGATCAGGCCATCGTTATTCAGGTCAAACTCGTGCCACTGATGTTCCACATTCTCATACATGTGTCGGTTCTGGACATTCCTGATCCACAGCTCCAGCTCCTCCTCTGAGACAAAACCATCTTTGTTGTCGTCGATTCTATCCACGATGATTCTGCAGATTAAAGCACAGAGCAGATCTTAGGCAGTGGAACTGATCAACCAAAGATACAGACCAGATACACCGCCATCTACTGGCTGAATGAGACACTACAGACAGAGTTGGCTCCATGTTTTTCCAATGCTTCCAATGAAAGGTTCATCACATTAGTTATGTTTTTGATAACAATCCTTTTGCTGAAATGCCATCAGAACGCTTCTAATATTAGGTTTGTCTCAGCCCCCCCCCCCTTCAGTGTTCACCATACTGGATCAGTTCATTTGCTGCAGCTATTTAGAAAGGTCCAAACAGACAACAGCAAACCAAACAAACAATGCAAAGAACAGTGTTGCCATCTTAGCGCTTTTGTTGCTATATTCAACGACTTTTCAGACCCCTCTAGCACTTTGATTACAATAAAACGCCTAGCGCTTAATCTAGACTTTTTCTGCTACTGCGGACTTTGGCGACAACATCTAAAAGCAGCGAACTCTGCTCTCCAGAGCAAGTAGATTGGTAACCCCGCCTCCTGCTCTCCTCTATCTTGTCTGCTGTCATGATTCATGCAGCTATTATTTCATCCAAATGAAAAATGGAGAACA